TTGTATAATAGTCATAGAATGAGAACGATGATGTTCCCATGTTCTTCAAACAGTGGTTACCACCTATTGCTCTAGCCACAGTAGAAACATGCTGTCCCACAATTCATGCTGCTTGACCTGAATTGGGTTGTTTTCCTATTCTCCTAGCATGGAGGATGCTCATATAATGGCCCAACAAAAGAAGGAAACTGTTTATAACATTTTTGTTAAGGATAGACAGCCTGGGTGAACTAGACCAGTTCCGGAATATTCCAATGCCAGGAAGATGTCCCATGCTATGCAATTATAGGACTCCACAGGGGACAGCCGCACAAAAAACCAAAGCTTTCTGGTTTCAGCCCAGCAGCTCCTGGCAAGTAGGTATAATTCATATCTAAGAAGGACAGAGTGAAGGATGAGGTTCATTGGCTTGATTAGGGTGTGTTTTCATAGTTTCTATTGCCTCAGCTAATCTAAAGGTGATGTATAGGAGTGGAGTATAAGAGGATACACAACATAGCTGGTCTCCTTTCTTATATTTGAATTATGATGGTTGTCAAGAGTTGCTGGGATGAGAACCAGAAAGCTTTGGCTCTTTGTGTGTATACTCTTTCGGGGCTCAGACATACATCATATCTGATCTTGCCAATATACCTGTGTAAACTTCTATGCAGCCAAAGCTAATCAGCTGATTTTCTCACTTATCAGAAGACAATAGGTCATACATGAAAATATACAAATCTATGAATAATATAAAACCACCCAAAATCAATGCTCATAAAGCCAATGGAACACTCAAAAATTGGTGTTGATATGTTGCTGCAAAGACAAATGAGACAACTCTTTTGAGTTACTTATAACTTTCTCTTCAATAACAAGAATTTAATGTTGTATTGATCGTATCTGCAATCTGCCCCAAGAAGAAATTGCTGGAGATATTTTTTCCTTAAATCCTTTTCAGTTGAGAAGTGCATCAAGTGAGGCACAGGTTCTCCACTGGATCCTTATGACGTACCATGCTTCTTAAATACAGTGTGACTATAGCTCTGTTCAGGCATTTGCTTGAATGTGTAAATGCTTAAAGTGTGTACTGAAATGGAACAGTGCATGCTGCCCCTGCCCCTACATTTCTGAGTGTTTCAGTTCAGGTCTTGGCATGTTGAATTTGCAAGGCCTGAAGGGGAACTCTGTTTGCATTCCCTTGCATAGAACCTTCTGTGTGATTATGGAGCCCACCTTGTTTCACTAAGCCCTCAAGAGTTCAAGCGAATGAGTGAATAGGGCTAGTATTCCATATGGAATTGCTGGAAATATCAGCTGGAATGGAAGACACTGATGCGTTCCACACTGTGTATTTGGCAGTATCTGAAAAATCCTCATGAACACTTAATCTTATTATAGGACCTGCCCTGATAGCCTTTAATTTTGACAAACAGCCTTGTGAAGACATATTTAGCATTTTAAAACTGAATCTTGATTTGATTAAAACCATGATAAATACAAAGACTCCAAGCCTATTAATTAACACTCTATTCTCTAGAGTGTTACTCTAGAACTATCCTTTCAGATAAATTATTAGGAATTTGGAAGGAGCACTAAGGAGTCAGTCTTCCTTCTTAGTTTATATTGTCCCTAATTAAGTATTTGTAAATAGATCTCAGCTAGGGCGATCTGAGGTTCAGCTCTAACAAGAATAGTCAAATTAGGAACCCATCAACTCTCCATGAAAGAGAAGGTGGCATACTTCATAGGTGTGCTGTCACCACAGGGCCTGGTTATATAGACAGACGTCCCCAAGCTTCTGGGGCTTCTGTACTCTCTGAGAAACACCTTTCGTACAGGATGTGGCTGGTCCCATCCTGGCTGCCGCAGCAGCCTGGCTAGTCCTGAGGATGAGGTGGCGGTGGGAGACAAAGAGCGAGGCTGGGGCTGGGAAGGAGGGGAAAATGGAAGGATTGCATTTTGGCCCACCCAGTCTTTTTTGCTCACACAGACCTTCTCTGCTTGCTTGCTTGCTTTCCATTTCCTGCCGGTAGCCTTGGCATTTCCTTGCCTCTTCCCATTTCCTAGCTATACGTCTCCTTTCCCTGACTCTTGCCTTTCTCTTTCTCTTCTTTCCTAGTGCCTAGCTTTGCTATTTCTCTCCCTTCTTTTTCTTTGTACCTTGCTTTCTCTTCATGTCATCCGAACAGCTGACCAATGAACTGAGAATTACAAATGAGAATGTTTTTCAATTATTTGTTTATGTTTTAGTTGCGCGATGAGAGAAGAGCTCTCTGGGCACCACTGAGGTGTCAGCAGGCACCTGCTGGGACTCCCTGGGACAGACAAATATGGCTAATTCCCAGTCAGTGTCTTGGAGGAAAAGACTCTTGCCACCGTTAGCAAATCATTATTCCATAGAAAGGTCCATCTGACTGATTACAGATGGACCACCTATGGCAACAGTTCCAGTGCTTCCCTATGAGCAGTCCTCTAGTGGGCTCCGTTTGGCTAGGTGGACCCACAACACTTGTGCAGCTCTGACCCGCAGCAGCTGCAGACTTCCGTGCTGCGGGTGCGATGCAGGGTGCTGGGAGCACAGGTGTGCCTGTGTCCCAAACAGGAAGTTCTGTATGGAGAGTGTGAAGATCCTGCTAAAGTTTCCTTTCAGAGACGCGAGTCGGGTGGGTGTGGGCCAGAGATATTATCTCGGTCTGGGGTGCTAGTTTCAGTGTAATTCACACTTATTTCTCCAAAATGGAGATGATGCTACTCAAACCCTACTGAGGTATTGGCAGCCTGTAATAGTAATGCCTGCAAAGTGCTGAGCTAGTGATAGAAGCCACACTATAAATCGCTACAGGAGATGGAGATTATTGACAGACCATCCCTATGCAGAACCGGCTTTGTTGCCTCAGCTTTTAGAGCAAAATTGCATTCCAAAGTTGATATGCTACAATCTTTTTTGGCATTTTGTGATGAAGAAAGCATTTATGGAGACTTTTATTCAATCTTTTAATAAATAGGCTTCCCACACATATAAAGTATTTCTTGGGGAATTAGTATCATTTAAGAGCTAATTGCAGAAAGTGGAGACTGCACATTTTTCAGCCCACTGCCTTTCAGTTGCTGAACAACAGCAACTAAGAGATTAAAGTTTTTCAAATGAAGTTCAGCTAGGCGAGTTTATGAAGAGCAGGGATGGAAAAGGCATGATAAGTCAATGAATGCACCTCAGTATGAGGTTTGTGGATCTAGCTTGATGGCTGCAAATGGGCAGCTGCCCATTTTTCACTCATTTTGAATACATAAAACACAAGGACTGGTCCCCCAAATCTCCTGCGCAATGGTATTTTCTTGATCAGGATGTTAAATCCCAAATTTGGCCCTCTTGGATTACCCCAGTGGCCCTTCCTCCTTCGGCTGAGAAGTTGTGATTGGCTCAGATCATTCTGTGAGACATGGGGGCCATTGGCTGGTTCTGTGCCTCCTTCTGGACTCTTTCTCTCTCTTTGTGTGTATGTGTGAAATAGAGAGCAAGTGAGAGAGAGAGAGAGAGAGAGAGAGAGAGAGAGAGAGGGAGAGGGAGAACTTTAATGTGTGGAAATGTTTTCTGATCTGTGCTGTATGGTGCAAAAGGAGAAGCATGGTGTGTATTGTATAGACTAGTAGAGTTGGAAAGGGCCAAGAAGAGTGTCAGATCCAACAGCCTGCTCAATGCAGGATTCCAGGTTAAAACATTCTTAACAGATGACTCTCCAGATGCAGCTTGGATGCCTCTGGAGTGGGATAACCCATGTCCTCCTTAGGTAATTGGTTCCAATCTCATATTGCTCCAAAAATCAAAATTTTTTCCTGATGCTCACCCAGAAGCTGGGTTACTGTAACTTCAGCCTGTGACTCCTTGTCCTGCACTCTGCGATGATCAAGAAGAGATTCTGATCTTCTTCTGTGTGACAAACTTTCAAATATTTGAAGAGTGCTATCATATGTCTCCTCACTCTTCTCCATGCTAAACATGCCCATTGCTTTCAGTCCCTCCTTCAGGGTTTTCTTTCCATCTACTGATCATCTTTGTTGCCTTCCTCTGAAACTTTGCCAGTCTGTCTGCATATTTCATACACTGTGGTGCCCAGAACTGGACACAGTACTCCAGATAAGGCCAAACCAGTGCTGACTAAAGGGGTATTGGTACTTCACATGATTTAGAAACCATTAATCACTTAGTTATTTAACAAGTATTTGCCTTTTTTGAAGCCACATCCTAGTTTCATCTTGTGATCTATAATAATTTTGAGATTCTTCTTGCTTTTAGTTTCATTGAGCCAAGTATCCTCCACTTTGTAAGAATGTATTTGGTTTTGTTGTCCTAAGTGCAGGACTTGGCCTTTGTTCCAGTTAAATTTCATTCTGTTGATTACATTCCAGCACTGCAACTTCTCAAAATTGCTTTGAATTTTGTTTCTGTTCTCTGGATGTTATCCCACCCAATTCTGCATTATCTGCAAATTTGATAAACTTTTCCTATACATCCTCATCCAGATCATTAATAAAAATGCTGAAAAGAACTCTTGTTACCTCTCCCCAGATTGAGAAGGTGACATGGATAAGGACTCTTTGAGTTTGATTCTGTAGCCACCTGTGGATCCACCTGATAGTTGTTCTATCCAGTCCACTTTTAGCTAGTTTGCTAATCAGGATATCAGGCTGATTTGTCAAAAATTTTAATGAAATCAAGATATATTATAACCACAGTGTTCCCTCATTCCACCAGGGAGGTTACACAATCAAAAACTCAGACCAGATTATTCAGGCAGGAATTGTTCTTGACAAATTGATGGCTTCCATGTTTCCAGGGTATATGCAGAGTAACAGCTTTATGATCTTCTTCAGAATTTCTTCTGGGATCTATGTCAGACTGATTGGTCTGCAATTCCCAGGTTCCCCCATTTTCCCACTTTTGAAGTTATGGATGACATTAGCCCTCCTCAGTCATCTTGCACTTTAACTGTCCCCCATGATTTCTCAAAGATAATAGGCAGTGGTTCTGAGTGTTCTTCTGACAGTCCCTTTAGTACTCTAAGATGTAGTTTACTGGGACCTGAAGATCTGAACTGGTTCAAATTCATTTACCTATCTATCTCAAGCTGCCATCCTGCTTCTTCGGTTTGTACTTCATGCTTGCCAGGGAGGTCATAGACCCTCTTTGGGGAGAAGGAATTGAGCTCTTCTGCCTTTTATTTGTTATCTTATCACTTTGCCAGCCTACTTGAATAGCTGAAGCAACATTTCTTTCCACTATCCTTTACTATAATGGGTGTATCTGAAGAAGACCTTTTTGTTGCTTTTAGCATCCCCCACTGACTTATTTAGCCTTCCTGACACTATCCTTGCCATTTGGTGCTACCTGCCTGTGTTTTTTCTTTTGTAACCTGACCTTCCTTCCACTACTTGTACATTGTTTTCAGATCATCTCCAAGCTTTCTGTGAAGCCACATTGGATTCTTCTTCTTCTGTGTGTTCTAACTTTTTTCTTTGTTGAAATTGTGTTTTTAGAATTTCTGATTATAGAAATCCCCCCCTCCATCCTGAACTCTTTTTCTCATTAGAATAGCTTGCCATGGGATCTTACTGAATTCCCTACTGTTCTGAATTTATTAAAATCAGCTTTCCTAAAATCCAGGATATACATTTGGCAACATTCAGCTTTTGCTTCCTTTAGAATCAAGAATATAATTATTTAATAATTAAATAAACGTATCTCCAGAGTTTCTGTAAGTGCCACTTTATCCACTAGGTCATCCCTGTTGGTTAGAATCAGATCAAGCCAGTCCTCTTATTCCTTCCTCCACTTTCCCCAGGAGTCAGGAATTTCTTGAGGCGTCATGTTGGCAGAATTTTTTCCCCAACAGAAATCAGGGAATTTGATGCCCCGTGTTTGAGATCTCTGTCAATGAGGGAATATTAGTCTTCTTCTAGGAAAATAGGGAAGATGATTTCCACTAGAATATATAATAATTTTATTGCACTATTGTACCTTGTTGACTCATGATACTAGAAAACTCAGTTTTGGCCCCTTTTGCCTTTGTCCACCTACCACTTCTCCACAATTGAATTTAGACCTCATCAGGGCAGGTGGTCACTGGGGATTTGATAGCAAATATAATATCAATCTCATGGGGCATATATCCAGTCCATACTCTCAAAATAGCTCTCTTTGGGACCTAGAGAACTTATGGGGAAGTGCCATAGCTTAGTCGTAGACCATATTTTGCATGCATGTGTCAGATCACAAAATGGGCCTAACTACCTCAGATGGAAAAAAAAAGCAAGCCAGCAGCTTTTTATTAAGGAGGAGGCAAGACAAGGCAAGACAGAGTGCATACAATGTACTGTGATCTTATTTTGTTATGTCATTGTTGTAATTCACCAAGAGTCCTATGGGATTTTAGTGTGGAATGCAAGTTTAATCACTCAGTCAATGAAATATATAGACAACATTCCTAGAACATCAAACACAATTATAACAAAGTGTTTATCATTTACATCATTGCTTTGCAACTCTTTCATGGGGCCCTTCCTTCTTGGTCACTCATCATGAGTCTTGGCATTTCTTCTGTCCTTCCTTATTTCTAGATGTTCTTAGCCAAGAGGCAGGTCAAAGACTCATCCTTGGCTTAGTTAAATCTCTTGTTACTTCCCACATAAAATTATAATGTCTGATTTTAGCTGATTTAGTATCTAACTTACTCAGCCCTTTGATCCTATATGTTTCCATACTATATACTTCCATATATCTGCTTTTTTACAAGGCTGAAAAACTAAGAAAGGGAGATTTGTAATCTTTCTTTCACATATGCAGAAGGTTCCAGAAACAATCACTGGGATCACCCGGCACAGCAGGAAATGCTCCTGCTCAGGACCCAGGGGAGCTGCTGGTAATCAAAGCCTACAAAAAGTGGACCAATGGTCTGATTCAGTGCAAGGAAGCTTCCTTAATGGAACAGCATTATATTAAAAAAGAGAGAATGCACCAACACAGGGGGAAGAGGTGATGGATCCTCTAGGTTTGAAATAATAATTAATTTATGAATTTAGCTATATCCTCTCCTCTTGTTCATACTGCAGACTTCCTCAACCTCCCAACATCTCCTAGCCAACATGCTATAGTCCAACACATTTGGAAGACACCGGTTTGGAGAAGGTTGTTGTTTAGATGGGTTAAAACAGGTGAGGTATCAGACCTGTCTCTCATACATTCAGTGGCAAGCAGTCTGACCAATGAGTTCTCAGGGATGTCATAATGTATCGTGTAACATACTCTGGCCTTTTGATGCAAAGAGGCCTCCTTGGCTGCAGGACTCTACTGGTTCAGACTGACCAGTGATAGACAAAGTCCATGCTTTCTATTTTTTGGCCCATCATTGTATCTCCTTATATGGTACTAAGAATAAAGGTGAAACCAGGATTTCAAGAAGGTCCTTGAAAATATAATGGTGCCATACAATAGTATGCCAAGTTGGGTTTTTGTTTTATATTTTGCATCCAACTGTTTGTTTGTTTGTGCTAAGCATTGATTCTATTTATTTAAAAATAAAAGAAAAAAACAAATATGGTCCTACATTGTAAAAGGGATCACATATGGGTTGTAACCATCAACTCCAAATCTATAGTTGCATGTCCCATCTCTTGAATCCCCAAAGCCTTGGAATGGAATATTGATTCTCTGTCTGTCTTCCAGACTCTCAGTCCACTTTAACACATGAATTGAAATCATACCTGTTGGAAATTTTGTGTGTGTGTGTGTGTGCGCGCGCGCGCACAGTAAGATGCTGACAATGGCATTTTGAACTACTTCTTAACTGAAACACAGAGCACTTTTATGCGTTACAATGTAGGACATCTTTCTCCCTCACTGCTACAAGATGTTTCATTGATCTGTAAAGATATTTCTTTTGCTACATTTTTAACTGTCTACTTTTATGCAAAGACTTCATTGTTGGGCATCCTCAGTATTGATGCTGGGAAGACTTGCAGGCAATTTGTGCTCCATTAATGGCTCTGCTGGGGACAATTTGCATGCCTTCCAAGGTGCATATCAAGGAAGTAATGCTGAATACAGATATAAGATATCATCTGATGCTTACAGTTGAGCATTTCTTTTTACAATGGATGTTCTCTCAAACTAGGTGAGTGGTGATTACTGCTGATCTTCTATTGCATGGAAGGAAGAAGGCATTGCGTGTGCCTGGTCTGGACAGATGCTTTGCCTCTGCAAATGAGGATGTACTTTTAATCAATTCATAAATGTAATATTTGTAATGCTGAACAAAAAATATCTGTGGTGCAAAGTTGAGCTGTCAGTGAATGGACATATGTTCAGCTCTTGAGGCCAGTGAGAGGTACTTCCCTTGATTACATAGAGAACTTTTTAAATGGACGAGATGATTGATCTCACTTCATATCATGGCATGCAGATTTGGTACTACCTGCCACAACACAGCTCAGATGTAATGCCTTTGGGAGCCATACAATAACCACAGAACAAGTGATGTTGACAGACATTAGTCTGTAGCTTCTACAGTGAGAGCATTAACTCTTCCAGCGCAGCTGCAGAACAATCTTCAAAAGTGGCAAGCAGGTAACAGGGATGGGCAGAAGATAGATCTAGAGGTAAAACTTTGAATGTTCTGCAAGAGGCTCACCAGAATTTCTGACTCCTAATGGATTATTAGTAGCAGCAGCAAAAGGTCCTGGCCTTATTTTTTCCACTGCCGTGAACAACTCTTAGTGTGAGGAGAAGTGGATTTGTGTGTTGAGGGACAATGCGCTCCATTTAATTCTGGCACCACAATTCCTGGGCTGCAAATTCTTTAATTCTGTGTCTTTTCATAGATCTTGGGGTTCTAGTTCTGGGTCTGATGCAGCAACACAGATGCCATTGTACGAGAAACTGCTGATATAGCTTCTGGGTATCTGAACACATGCTATGACTTTCTCAAGGGAAAGAATAGTATGCTTTCCCTGATATGTTTATGGTGACTTCCAACTTTGTAGCACAAGTGAATTGAAAGTGCAAGTGTAAGAGAAGAGAAAATGTGAACTGCATTTCTCTGTATGACTCCGCATCATCCCATAACTTAATTTATAGGAACGTTCTATCCCTATTTTGAAAGCACAAGGGGGGATGCAGTTCCTCACCACTTATCTTTTAAACATGATACAAAAAGAAGGAGAAAGAAAGGTGCAGGACCATCACATAATGTTAAGTTTACAAATTTTTGCCTGAAATTCAAATTATTCTCTCCACGATCTTCTCTTTTCATTAAAAAGTAGAGGGAGTTTTTCCCAGTCTTAACATAAATCAAAGTCTCAGGCAGAGGAATGCATTTTGAGGAGGGGGTTGAAGAAAACTAGATTATGGATCGCATGCATCAAAGCAACTTGTGGCACTTCTGAAGTTTGGCTCTACAATTTGCATAATATTTCAATATTGGCTGTGCTGGTTAGGACTGAAGGGCAATGTATTAGGTTCAAGGCAGCTTCACCCAGAGGTGAAGAATGAGCAGAATTTGTAAAGAAGCAGGAGGTTTTTGGGCAGCTGTGGGTGTTGGAGCTGTAGGTAGAGAGGCAAAGGATGAGAGTAAAACAAGAAACGAGGCCTGGAGGATAAGATGGACAAAGCCATGGATAGGGTGGGGAAATACCTTAAATGATCTCTCCTGATTGTCTCCCAGGACAGGATTCTACAGGTAAGCGTGTTTCTCAGACTCATGGAAACACACTGAGAGCATTTTATTATGGTTGATCTAGGTCCTAGACGTTTCTGCATTATCAATAAAATGGCAAGGGGGATGTTTACATGCAACTCTTGGTCATTCAGTACACAGATCTGTATGATCCTCTGATGCAGAGATACTCAGGAAGGATCATGTGGAAGCCATTCACCTCTCTAGCTCAAAGATGCATAATAAACAGAAGGTATAGTGCAATTATTTATGAACATCTTGATCTTGGCTTTTATGGCACAGTGTCTTTCCCATCTCCCCAGCATTCTTCTTCTGGATCTGAGAAACAATTTAGTTATAATAATCACTAATGGAGAGAAGCAGCGGTAACTCCACACAGAAGTCACAGATGTGGTCTGTCAAACACATAATACCATTGGATTTATGCTCCTTTCATGCAGATACCTTTATTGATGGTGAGAGAAGCTGCTATGTCACACTCAACTGTCTGAAGGCCTTTTTTCCCCAGAACATGCTAAGTATGGCCATTCAGTGGTGCAGCTATTTCCTGACTATACTATGGTGTCAGTGGACATGCTGACAGACCTTGTCACCTGTCTTCTTCGCCACTATTCTCCTCCCCAGTTGAGAGAAAACTGACTGAAAAAGGGACTAAGGTCACCTTCCCCAGAAAGAAAGGGAAAGGATGGGAAGTAGCAGGCTCCCTGAAGACTGAAACCTACCAGTTGGTACCCAGTGGGAGGCAACACAGATGAGTTTTTGCTGCTCGAGAGTCATGAACTAGATGGCAAATCCATGGCGTTTTAACAGGAAATGAGATGCATATCAGCATTTGCAGCTGTGAGGGATCAGGGCCTGGGTGAGCAGGAGATGGATAAATGCACTGGGGTATTAGCGAGATGACAAGGTGGTACGACACAAGGCAAAGTCATTCACCAGTCCAAATCACAAGTCACGATGCCAAGCAGACTAGGGTCAAAACCAGGAGTCACTTGTGGAGCCTGATGAGGTGCAGTCGAGTAAACAAGGGCATGGGCAGGACAACCTAGAGGTCAGAAGCTGGTAAGACGGCACAAGGAGCAGGGAAGATCACACCTGGTGAAGGGCTTGAGATCACTGGAGGCCAGTGTTGCCCAGAAAGCTTCTGGATGGAAGCGCTAGTTCATAAATAGCTCTTTCCCTAGGGCTCCCAGCTGGCGCTCATGAGGGCCCTGGCAGCTGCAGCAGAGTCTGGGACTAGTCCTGCAACTACCAGTTCTATTATTCTGGTACTTGGCAGCAGGGGGAGACCTGAAGCTGCCCAGATCCTTCCAGCAGCCATACAGAGCCCAAAGGTAAAAATGGTTGGAGCTCTGGTTTATCACCTCACCTGATTACAGAAAGACAATTTTCATATTTCTTGTGTTGTCCAGGTGCTTTAATCCTGAGTCAATGTGTTTAGGCCTGGAACAAAGGGAGTGTTGTGAGAGAAGGCCCACTAGGGGTGGAGATCCAAATTTTTCATTTGGAGTCCCAGATCTCTGCCCCAGTCTCCCTTCAATTCATGGGTAGATGCTGAAATAAAATATGGGGGCCCTGCTAGTTCTGCTGCATCTGATCTCCCTGGATTAGCTGGATTGTTGCCCACATGCACTTCACCTCTTGTTGTTCTTCCCCCCAATCTTTCTGCCCACATTTTCCCCCCTGAAATCAAATGCCCCTTTTCCCTCTGCCCGTATGTATGTATGTATGTATGTATGTATGTATGTATGTATGACACAAATAAAGCTATCTTTAAAGAGACACGGATAGAGAACACCAGTTTTCTTCTTCTTTCCCCCTCCCTCTATTTTTTCTTCAAGTCGGAAAAAATGCATTTTCAATCAGGGAAAAAGATTCTTTCAAACAACACCCAAATATGCACCCCCTGCATTTAATAAAGCACAAAAATGCATCATTTTGCAGACACTCATTTTAAAGTGCACATTTCAAAAGAAATGTGATTTGCTAAACATGAGCACAAACTCCTGAATATGTTTGCTTTTCTTAAAACTGCTCTTGAGTTCACATCTGGGGTTACAAGAGAGGCATTATACATCCGTACCCCTAACTCTGGACTGCTTTACAGATGTTTCTGTATCGCTTTCAGATATAACGCCTTTTGTACCATTTAATCAGCAGAGCGGATCTGATGTGGCAGGAAGTGGTGATGATGTGACATTTGCAGCAACGAATTTCACTAGGTCGTATGGCAATGACAAGCATGAATAAAGTGTGGAAAAACAAGAACATCAGCTTAGCAACCAAGTACAGGTTAATCTGTGGGATCGTTTTTCCTATAGGAGCCTACAGTTGTGAAAGTTGGACAATGAGAAAGTTAGACAAGAGGAAAATTAACTAATTCAAACTGTGGTGTAGGCGGAAACTCCTACGCATTCCATGGACAGAAAAGGTGATGCACAAGCAGGTGCTAGAACATGTTATACCAGACACATCCCTGGTTGGCAATATAACAAATCGGAGACTCACTTTGGGCACATCATGCAATCAAGCTCATTAGAAAAAGATACTATGCTTGGAATGCTCAGCAGCAAGGGAAAACCAGGTTGCCAAAGAACATGGTGGTTGGAATCCATCAAAGAAGATATGGGCCAGAGCATAGTTCAGCTGAAAGAGGAGGCATTGGATCAGACAGTGGAGAGCTTTGGCCCATGGGATCACTTATAGTCGGACATGACTGAAAGCTGAACAACAACAAACCCAGTAGAGGAACGTAGGAAGCGACATTCTACCAAGTCAGGGAATTGGATCCATGCAGCTCATTCTTCTCAAAACTTCCTGCCGATGGGCTGTTGAGGGTTTCAGGCTGGATTCTTTCAGGGCCTACCTGGAGGAATGAGCAAAGTGCCCCACACAGCCTGCCCTGGACTCCTGGAGCTAGTCTGCTTTCCTCCCAAGCAGCTGGAAACGCTGCTCCCTTGCCACTCCAGTTGGCTTCCACATGTGAAATGGAGTGGGTGGAGAGGTGGGGAACATCTTGTCCTTTGCTTCAGTCAGCAAACTACTTCAGCCCAGTGAATTTGGAATCAATTTAGTTACATTCAGTAGCTGACGCTAAAAGCATACCTTTTATGGAGGTAAACATTGCAAATAGCTTACACAGAATTGACTGAAGAAATTGTCAGACTCCATTTACAATATTTCGAAATGCCATCTGTCAAGAGATTTTGCGTGCTGTCTCATTAATTCTTTTCACAGGTTATGCTGCCTGCTAAACCTCCCTCATTTTCATAGATGCAAATGGTGGCCTTTCAGGTTTCTCTGCCTGGTGATAGGTATTGTGAACTTCTGGCTAATTAATCAACCTAAATGAACCATTTCCCCTTTTTAAGCATAGACAAAATATATGCCTGCTAAGGGATTTGTGCATGCTTGAAGCCTCTTTGTCTGAACTGACCTTTTTAACCAAACAAATTAGTTATGAAATTTAAATGTTGAGATCCAACCCAAAGCACCATGAAGCAAGGCAGCTGCAGTCTCTTTCACCAGATGGAGCTCTGTAAGAAACTCAAGAACTCTTGCTAATGCAAGGCTGCTGATAAGGGCAAGATGCATGGGGATAATGGTCTTGATGGGCCCATTGGATTTATCTTAAGGCACAATCCAATGCTCCCCACCCACCCACCCACCCATGATGCACACAAGCTTATGAACTCTGAGGTTTCTATTCATCCCATGCATGTGGTGAAGCATGGCATGATCTTTGCCACAGTTCTTCATTTTTGCTTTTGCATTGGTATGTTGCCCCATAGCCCAGGGGCTCTGTGCTGTTCATGTCCCGCCATTCATTTAGATGGCCATTTTCAACCATCTAGATCAGGGGTCGGCAACCTTTAACACTCAAAGAGCCATTTGGACCCATTTCCCACAGAAAAGAAAACACTGGGAGCCGCAAAACCCTTTTGACATCTAAAAGGAAGATAACACTGCATATATAATTTTTTACCTTTATGCTATGTATAAAAAAACTATAGTGTGTTGCATTTATGAAATCAATGAACTGCTACAGGGAAAACAAAGTTTTATTTCTGCATGCAACAAAAACATTTTGAACTCTGAAAAAAAAGATGCTGGGTTGAAAGTTACTTTCAAATAAAATACTCAATGTCTATCTGAGTCCTCCTCTTATTTATGAAATAAAAAGCCAAACTTATATTATCCACTGTCTGCTTCTGTGTGCCCTCATCCTTTTACCACATGGTGAAATATTGAACAAACATCCCTCTACCAATGTAATAATGTTGCTGGAATTTTTTATAAGAATCTTCTTAAAACAAAGAAGTAGATCTATAATTTCATTATGATTTAGTTGCAGCTCTTGTTCAGTCACTAAAAACTGTTATTTTTAATCTTACATTATAAACTAGTAGGATTCCTTTCATATATTTTGAATAGGAGAACAGCTTCCTGCAGAGTCAAAGTCAGTGCTAAAGGGCTGCATGCATTAAACAGCAAACCCCATAAGTTAGTCAGCAGTAAAAGCAAATTAATCTACCCACATACCATTAAACGTTTGGTTTTCTTCAGAAACTTTTCTTTTCTTCGGATTTATCCATGGTTGGAGGGGGGGAAAGCTCAGTAAATCATCGGTGCCACTCACAGATATAGGTGTGTTTAGTGACTGATTAGCAGATAAACAGTCAAGTGATGTGAATTGTGACAGGTCCCAAGCACAGCTTTTAACTTTCAGATGAAGGAGATTACATTGGGACAAAGACAATCTTTTCAGCAGTGTTTTTCATGTAACACGAGAGCCTGCAGGAAGCTTGTTTAGCAGAGGAATGTAGCGATTTACTTAACTAGCTAGCCCTGTGTTCCTGAGTGGAGCTTCGAGCAGATCAGCAGCTGTGCCGGCTGCGTGTTTTGAGCGACGGAACCACAGCAGAGGGGTTCAAGAGCCATGTGCGGCTCCGGAGCCATGGGTTGCTGACCCCTGATCTAGATGAAGTACTGTGGAGAAGGCTAGAAGGACTTCAGGGTGTCAGTTAAGCGATGGGAGGCTATAAGCGATGGGATGGCATACAAAAATTCTAAATAAATAAATAAATAAATTTGCAAATGATGTAGGCTGTTAGCTCCAGCCTTTTCCTAGCCCCACCTGCCCCCCAGCAAGTCTGTTTCCCTCCTCTCTGAGGTCAATTCTTTCCACTCTAGCCAAGAAAGGGATAGGAATACAAATCTGCTGGACCTCAGAGCAGGGACTCCCCAGACAGTGTTGGTAGATGATAGAATTGTGCCCATGTTGATGGACCTCAAATATGGCAGTTCTGCACTGCATGGGGTGGGTTGTGCAAAGCCAGTTAATATCCCAGTGCACCAGAATCTGGATGACCTTCCTCCTGGGTCCTTACCCAAGAGATGCCTTACTCTTTTCCCCTTTCTGTTGCTACAGCTGGACCCAGAGTAGTGTGCCAGATCAACCAAGTAAAATTGGAGCATTAGTTAAGCATAAATGCAGTACTGCTCCACCCCACTTACTCTTTTTCTCCTTGTTGTTCACTCTTCAGAGCCCAAATGAACCTTCTGACTCAGACCCCCGTGCCTCATTGTCAACCAAAACAAAGGCAACTGGGGAGGGGTTCATGGCGGCACCCTCACTTTGTGAGGAGACTGCAGGGCTATGTCTGTGGAAGATGCGTATGTTGGCCACAAATTCCACAGGCTACATGCTTGGCAGCCTCAAGCAGTTATGTGATGAATGCACTGAGTGCAGTTCCTCCATTGAGAAGGAATGCTGGTTGGCCTGGGATCCTTCCTCATGAGGAACAGCTCTTTCCAGGTACATTGGGGTCTATGAAGAATATTCAACCATATTTAGTCATGTGATTAATCTAACCACAGCCAGCGTGAGTATCGCATAGTCACAAAGTGGACCAAATATATTTAAAGAATAAAGTGACCAAAAAAAAAAAAAAAGAGTCAAAAAACAAAAAGCCAACCCCTTAAGAACAGGAGCATTCTAATCTTTTGATTTCCAAAATGATGCAATTATCCAAAGCTTTCAGATCAGAAGTAATAATTAAGTATTAGGCCATCATTCTGATGGCCTAATAAAAGTACATTTCATCCCACTAAATCAGCAAGGTAATGTTGACCTTTGTCTGAATGGATTATTAAAACAAAGAGAGAAATGAACCAGCTGAAGCATAGGAGATTACCTTTGTGGCTCATGTTAATCTGTCCTGACATAAAAAAAGTGTACTATCTAACACTGAA